AAATTATTTCAAGCATATTCAAAGTTGGTAACATACAGATTATTTAAATAAGAAAAAAAAACAACAACAAAAAACAAACCCTCTTAACAGTAGGCTGCCACCAGATGGCGCTGTCACACAAAACATCTCATCTTCCCGGAGGATTTCTAGTCATTCTCAGAGGATAAAGCTTGACATTCTCCGTGCAAAGGATTATTCTGCGTGTTTCGTGTGGTGTGTGTGTTTCCGGCAAGGAAAAAAAAAAGAAATGCATCATCTGAGGTCCTATTCAGCCTCAAAGTGTCGCTGTACTGTAATCGAGGCAGGCGAACTTGTTTTCATTCCCGGGGAAAAGTGCTCATTATTGCACTCAGTGTTTCTCGTGGAGTGCTCGTGTACTTGAAGTGTAAAGCACAGTGGGGAACATCCCGTCCGCCTCAGAGATCGTGTCGGCGATGAAAGAGCCATCACTCCTGCCTGTTTTCGATGTTATGGACCAGCAAGATTATAATTCCTTTATAATTATAATAATAAAGATTCATATTTTATGCCAAACTAGAAAAAACAGGGAGTCTGTTTTGAGCAGAGCATATTTTCTTTACATATAAATTCATTTATATAAATCTATTTTCTATTAAAACAGTCTGAAAGCTTCAACTTCAATTTTAATATAACTTTATCACTCACACGCCTGGTTTCCAACATAAAACACGATACTGGCAAGAGTTAGTCGGCTGTATCAGTCACACCTGTAGGGAAATCATGGACACAGTTAACGCAACACCTTCTGTGCACATTGCAGGTGCAGGAAATGTGAACCAGTGGCGATTCTAAGTTTAAACTTTTAGGGGGGCTCAGCTCTCATTCATGATGCCAGCAGTGCCTTGTAAATAAAATTAATGGAATATGCTGTTTGCAAATATAATCAGCCCTGTTTGCATTTGCACAGCTCAGTTCAGTTGGATACACATTACAGTGTCACCTTCAAAAGCAATCTAAGCAGTTGGATGAACTATTGTAATGTCTGAGAATAATTCAGAGTGAATAATCAGACCTAATCCACCTGGTTTAACCAGTTTTAGGTTCGAGCTTTTTTTTTTTGAGCTCAGGTTTAGATATCAAACCTGAGGCTAACCCCTGATTACAGTACAGCACAGTGCTTAGTGATGTCATCATCAATGAATCTGGGTAAAACAAAAGCTACAGCTTTATAATTTTTGGTGAATTTGACTACATGTCCACACTTACTGGTTTCATTTAGCTCTTTCTCTGTCTTTGTGCCGTCACCCAAAAGTTAAATGTTACAGTGAATAAAAGACATAAACGGATCCGTTCATAGCATAATTCAAACAGAGTAAAGCCTGCAGCTGGACATTGATCTGGAGCTGTACTGTAAACAAACACTGAAGCCCAGTTTGCCCATAAAAGGATTTTTTTTTCTTTTTTACAAACTAAAAAAAGAAAGTATATGTGAGCAGACTAGAGAATCATAATGATTTATGCTACATTAGCCAAATTTGTTTATGTTATTTTGTCAAATAAAAACAAGCAGATGCTTTATAAGTCACAGTGATTTCCACGTGTTATCAGAACAGTTTGTACTTCTGCTATAGTGTGTTTTAAATCCACATCACTGATTTGTGTCATTACATTACCTCTTCATTAGGGGTGTACTGATAAATGGGTCTAAACTTATTGAAAAAACCTTCAATTATGTTTAATTTTGCTGACATAAAAGCAGTTAAATTAAAAGTTACTAAAGATACTAAAGTCTGCTTATCATTTGTGGGCTGATGGCAACGTCTTGTGGTGGTTTCCTAAAA